GGGAAAATGCATAAGTACCCCCCTGACCTATACCCGGATTCCCAACTACACACTTTTTCTTTGCGGGAATCCTATTACCCCCCTAAACTTATTTTAAATGTAATTATTTGCACCCTTAACGCTGACAACCAAACTCTTGGCAAGTGGTGAGCTACACGCGCCCCCATATGTATTTTTAGTACTTTTTTTATTCTTTCTTCTTTTTCTTATTTCTTATTATTCTCATTTTTTTTGGTTATTTCATTCTCTTTTTTATTGTTTTGGTCACCGACGACATAAAATGGTGGTCGTCAGAATTTCACAAACACCATTTTTCCGGCGAATTTTTTTTTTCCTGGCGATATTTTTATCCCAATCTAAGTTTTTTTTTTTTATATATATAAAAATTTTTCTTGAAAGTATAGTTTATGTGTGGGAGGAAGAGCAAAAGAAATAAAAATAAATATAAGCTGAGAAAACTTTTTCCAGTTAAAATTTCAATACATCATTTTTTTTTCGGCGTGGGAAGGTTTTCCGATGATGAATTTTTCCCCCCAAATTTGAGTGTATTTTGCTTTGCTTATTAATAGATCTTTTTGAAAGTTTAATTTGTCTGTGAAAAGAAAAAACGGAAGAAAAACGGTTAGATAAAGTCGTCGGTGAATGAATATCCGCCGGAATTAGAGAAGAAACAAAAAAAAGTAAAAGAAAAAAGACAAAGAAAAAGAAAAAGGAAAAGGAAAAGGAAAAAAAAGTAAGAAAAAATGATAAAAAAGAATAAAAAGTAATCTAAAATTATTTTTTCTTACTTCTCACTCTCCTTCGGGAGAGTGAAATAGACACACTCTACCACGTCAGCGTTAAAGGTGTAAATAATTCCATTTAAAATAAGTTTAGGGGGTAATAGGATTCCCGTAAAAAGAAAGTGTGTAGTTAGGAATCTGGGTATAGGTCAGGGGGTACTTATGCATTTTCCCTAAAATTTATATAGCAATTTTGTTCATCTGTTCACTTCTTCGAATGTTGACATTACTTACAGAACATATTACGTACTCCTTTGTAGATATTATACTCTATGGTGTAGTATTAGGAATGAATGATATAGTACGATTCCCAGCATGTATTGATTCTTTAAAGCTGGCTTTGGTTGTTGATCCAACGGTGAACAGTTAAATGTGTGCTTAGAACTTTGTTAAGTGAAAAAGTGCTCAGAACTTGGAGGATAAAAGTTTGCAGAGTCGGTGGTTGATTTATGAGCTTATGGGGACTGCTGCTTTCCCACTAATATTTTTTCCTTTATAATCAGCCCACAAACAAAGGAAGATGAGAGAAGAAAAAACACACACACACACCAAAAATCAACTCAAAAATCAACTCTTTTTTCTTCTCTGTAATGGCCCAGCTGGACCAAAATTTATATAACCAAAGAGGAGAAGTATTCATATGTCTTGTTAACTAAAAACCCACCTCATATACACACCATTTAACCATAAAGACACAATCTTTCCATAAATACCCTTCTGCAACACCCCTAAAAAGATCCAATCTTTCATCACTTCTTCACTGCATGTCTCTAAAAAACAAAAACAGCAATGTATTACTACTATTATATTTATCTTCTCCATTTATGTGGGCTTTTTGGGGTTTGTCTTTCTTTGTCAAGAACCTTCTCACCACCTCTCTCTTTTCCTTTCTTTCCCTATTTACTACACCTTTTCTTTGTTGTATTATTGTTGTTTTCTCACTTTCACGCCTCTCTTTCCTCTCTTTTTTCCCTCTTCTGCCGCCTTGGCTCTTCATATTTTCCAAGATCTGATGTCTAAGAAGATGAAAAGGGTGTCTTTTAGAATCATCTTATGGTGTTTTTGAATATTCAAAGGCTAGGTTGAAGCATCAGACACTATTTCAGGACTATCAAGAGCTCCACAAGGTAAAAAAAAACTTATCTTTTGGGGTTTGCTTGATCCTTTTGTTTGAAGATCTATGTTTCTTTTATTAGTGTATTTTTGGTGTCTTTAACTAGTCTATTGGTATTTCTATTTTTCTTTTTTGGTTCTTTTCATCTTGTCTTTAGCCGAGTATCTATCGGAAACAGCTTCTCTGCCCTCCAGGTAGGGTGTGCGTACATACAAATGGGAACTCACTGGGTTTGTTATTGTTGGAATTTTTTTGGTTATTGTTTGTTAGAAATTTGATGACTTTTCGTTGGTGTTTGATACGTTTCCTATCAATGATTTATGAGCTTGTTATTTGCTGTCTCTTTGTTCGATTTTTTTGGGATTAAAGTTACCCTTTTAGCTCTCCCTTATTGAGGCTTTTACTATGAGTTTGTGTCTCTCCCGTTAAGAGGTGAGAAATTTTACCCGCTATTTTTGATAATCTTTGAAATTATTGTTTCTTAATTTCATAGAAGGCGCTTTGACGTAAAATATGATTGTATTGGCTGTCTTAGTCTCCAAGTGTGTGCCTCAAAGTTTCTTCATTTAGCAGTGCTAAAGCTGGTCTGAATTATGACAAGAGCATATAATTGTTGTACATATTAAACGTTGCAGTTGTGGATGTTTCAGATAGCTTGATGGTGCTAACAGTATTTCACTAAGGGCAGTTGCTTGTATCCTGTCTTGGGAGTTTTTAATCAGCATGTGAAATGAATAAGGAGAATGTCACATAACCAAAGTGGCTGCCACGTAATTAATTTTTCTCAAATGTTGCTTTTTTTGTTTTTTTGTTTTTACGTATAATTTTTATGTGATTCTTGTATATGTGATTATGACCTTGGATCGCTGTTGATTCAGAATTTAAAATTATCAAATTTTATTTTTATTAGGATATTGAATCTTGAGACCGTGTTCTTTATTGCTATTGATTTTGCCTTCCATGTATGCTAAGAATATGGATGATGAATGAAGTAAAATATCTTATGGAAAAAATATGATCTGTGAGAGATTGGAAGGAAACTTTTAATTTTAGAGTAGGATGACAAAAAAGGCGTGTCGCTATATATTCTCTCACAGAGCTGTTAGCAAAGCAGTCTGTTAATGCGCAGATCATTTATTAGGTCGCTATCACTATAGAAGAAAACATAAGTTGTGAAGAAGAAAAGCTAGGAAATTACAACCACCTTTAGTTGGAACAGACACATAGATGCATTGTTATTCGTACTCCAAAATATATTGTTCTTTTGGGACAGAGGGATTTAATTTTAAATTTTAAATTACTTTATCTTATCGTGAACAGAACAATTCTTGATTATCACAGAGTAATTCTTCTATGAATGATTTTTAGTTCCTGTAAAAGAAGTAGAAAATATTTACTAATGATGAATTTTAGATTCAACAATTTTTGAAGACTTGGAGTTTGCTTATTGCGAGGTGATTTATTCACCACTTTCCAGTTGTTACTCCTTGTATCTGATTTGATTGGAGTTGTAGCTGGTTGCTTTGGAGTATCATGATCAGAAACATCATGTAGTGCATCTTTTATCTCATTAGCCTTAGCACCAGTAGCAGTTGTAGTACCTACTGCCCCTACACCTATTTTATCTTGCCCCACAGAAATTTGATCACCAGGTACCATGTTATTTTTTCTTTGATCAACATGAGCCTGCATTGCACCAGCACTAGCTAGGTAATTCTGTTGAGACTGCCCAGTCTTCTTCATTGCACAATCATGCACTAACAAAGCTTGATCTGTTGAGATTTTAACAACCTGTGTGGCTGGTTCTTTGTGCGAATCAGCGGTAACTTGCCCATCTTTTATAGCCACAACTCCAGTATCCTCTGTTAACTTTTGTACGCTAGTTGTCCCTTGTCCTTTAGATGTTTGATGCCCAGCTTCAACAGATTTTTGCCCAGCACCTGGACCCTTAGAAACACCATGAGTAGCAGCCTTCAAATCACTAACAACCCTATTAAGAGCTGCCGTAACTGGAACTGTTACAACAGCATTAACAGTTGTCCCAACTTCTTGTTGCACCACTATTAAATTTTTTGGACCAGCTATACCATCTGTTGCATTAGGAAATTTAATATAGCAGAATTCTTAGAAACACCAGTCTCCTTCCCCACTCGATCAACTGCGACACTTTTATTCACCCTATGTTCTACACGATTCTGCTCAACCACACTCTTCTTTGCTATATTATCTACCATTTGTTCAGCCCTTTTTGCATTAAGATAGTCTCTAGCATCACCTTCTAATTTGTCAAAACTACCCAGCCCTTCAACTTCAATAACTGGAGCAGCTTCTTCGTTAGATTTCTCAATCCTCCAACGACATGATTTTACATCATGTCCTTGATGTTTACAACAAGTACAAAATTTAGGGAGATTATCATATACTATCTGTTGGTAATGTTCAATTAACCTTCCAGAAATTGTATCCACAATATTTATCCTAAAAAAGGAGAATGTTTCTGGCTCCTATTAATTCTGTCTTCACAACTGGAATGCCTTTTCAAGAAATGAGCAGGTTCAGTTATGTTGGTCTTTATCTAAAGAATAGTACCTCCCTGAGAATCTGCAAATGTTTTTTATGATCTCAGGTCGTTTGGGTGTATAAGCCTGTGAGCATGCAGTAGATTTTTTTACCTCATTCATTTATGTGGAGTTTTTCTTTCTTAGGCAGATCACTTTCATGTTATTGTATTCGTAGGTACTTTCAATACTAAGTGAAACTACTTTGTCTTCATAACTTCCATTGGCTGCATTGAGGCTCACTTTTTGAAATATGGAACCTTTACAATTTTACAAAATAGACTCCAAAACCCGACATGTCTATTGTCTTATCTGTAGGATTCTTTTTAATCCTTTACCTTTGTTAAAACTTAAAAAAATAGCATTTACGTTCTCCACTTATGTTGCTCAAGTTGTGTTGATATTATTCAAAGCAACCAGTTATCAAACTCAATGCAGAGAATGAGTGAGCGAAACAAAACCAATAAGGCAAATCAAGAAATGAATCATATTTGCGGCAGAAAATCATTCCAAGCAGTATCTTTTGAACAGGTAATGTATGTCTTTATTTTTACGATTTTTGGTTATTCTTGATTTAATAACATAATTTGATTTGTTTTGGTAGAGAAATAAAAACACTGGAAAAGAACCAAACTTGCAGAAACTTTCGGAATTGACTCACATGAAGGACGGACATTGGGTTAATGATGCCTCTGCTGAATTAAATGTACATTTGGCACTTTTATCTTTATTCATATAATATGAGTTTTTAGAAATAAATATTGAAAGTAAAATACTGTATAAATTTTTTGTAGGATAAGGTGAACGAATATATTGCTGAACAAATCCAAGAAATTGAAGAGGATACCGATTTGGACCGGATTGTTAATGCCGCATTTGTGGAAGTTGTTGGAGAAACGTCAAGTTATTGTCGGGGTCAAGGATCGGGAGTTAAGTCAACAACTAGGAGATCCATGAATGGAATTCAAGAGAAACTGCAAGCACAACAAAAAGAGGCAGAAGAAGAACGTCGTAAACGAGTGTAGAATGCCAGCTAAAAGAAGTACAGAAACAGGTTGAGGAGGAGCGAAAAAATCGAGAAGCCTTGGTGGTTGACCAAAAATTGTTAAAAGAGAGCATGATGGCACTAGCATCCCATATACTAAGTAGTGAGGTATTTCATTACTTTTGATCCTAAGAGTATTTCTGTAACAATAAAAGTGGTAGCATGTTAGCATTGCTCTAAACACAAGAAAACATATAATATCTAATTGAAGCATAACTCTAGAATTGATTGCAAATAAATGTCCATACGTACTTGTAAAGTAAAAATCACTCATGTACTAAACTAGCAAATGATACCGTATTACTTACATATGATCCACAAAATAACACCACAGGGCATGCTTGTATTGATTAATTACTTTTGTCGCTCGCACTATTTGTGTTTCTAACTCGTTCCCATATCATTCCTTTCCACTGATTTGTACGACAAATTAAGTTATGTAATTTTATTATATTTAACAGAATGGAGTTTCTGGTGGACTTCTAAACATTATTTCCAATTTAAGTGGTTCAAATGAGGCAACCCATTTAAGACTTATGGATAACATCACGGTAAGAAATTTGGTCTAACTCTTGTAAAAATAAATTCGTTGATATTGTTCAATATCATGTTTGTATTATAGTTTTCAGTTACAATTTATTTAGTTCTCTGTCATGGTTACCAGAAAATGTTTCTTATCAAACGACTTTCCTCATACCAAGCACACATACATTTTAGTTTAAACAACATTTCGGCATAGCTAAATTATACCAGAAGCATTTGCTAAATTATACATGTATCTCCCTTTTTACATCACCTGTTTTGGTACAGTACACTAAGGTTGTCTGCTACACAAGCTCTTTAACACTATTCTGTTTACATAAAGATTTTGTCTCATTCATCACAATAATATAAATATTCCAATAGTACCATTTTTGTACAGAAAAAGATCACTTTGCTTTTTCTTCTTCCCCGGCCTAAATCAGAATATATGCATGACACAATATTCTGGGATGACAATGAGCTACAGATGATTCAACCAAGTTCATTACATCACCAAACAATTATGCATAAGCTGTTTGTTGAACAAGAATTTCTAACAATTAAGAAGGCTGATTTTATCCAAAATGTGTTGACATTAGAGGACTTTAAATATGCCTTCTCTTTAGTTACCTCACGAGCATGGGCAAGCTCTCGAGGTGTGTATATTCATAGGATGTTTGGTTAAATTTGTGAAATAAAATATAAAGGGATAATGCTGAAGAGAAAAGTGAAATAGATTGATTCTAAGCTATCTTTGGTTAGACCAAGTGTAGTTGTAGAACAAATTTTGGAGTGATGTCGAAACAGATATTGTATACTTAGTAATTTTAACATGCAAAATTTTGTTTTCTATAGACTTTTGCTTCTTCATGAATCATGATCACGAGGTTATATTAATAAAGGCTTCATAGACAACTAGCTTACTATACGCATGATTTTGACAGTTTTCCATATAATTCTTATTTGATTTCTTAGCTTTAGCTTTGGTTTTAAGAATCTTTTTATATCATTCATTTGTGCCCAAATTTTTTTTTTGATCGGTACTAGTGTACATTATAATTTTCTTTTAGAAAAATTATAATTATAATTTATATTCTTTTGCAGGATGAAGATGAATAAACCAACATAGCTGACAATATGGTTCATCTAATGCTCAAGCTACTAGAAGAAGATTTACTTTTGGGTTGTTATTAGATTAGAAATTATGAACCTGTAGATGCTCTTGTTATTATTTTTAAGTAAGAACATGTGTTTTAGTAGTATTTAGTTTTTGAAAGAATGTAAATACTTAGTGCATTAGTTGTATTGACCTTTGCAAATATATATCATATATTAATTTATATATATATATTTGTGATAGTTTGAAAGAAAATGTGATTTGTGTATGTAGTAACTACACATTTATTATTGCTAGCAGTATAACAGAAAATAATATTGTTGGCAAAAAGTGATTTGTGCCCACAACAATACGTGTTGCAAAAAGCCTTTATAACAGATTATTAACTACACTCCTGCCATATTTTTTGCCACAAGGAGTATTGTTGCGAAAAATAATAACAATTTACGCAACAATAATTTTTGTTGCTAAATATTTTTATAAGCCACAAGTGTATAAGCAAAATATAATTTATGGCAACAATATTTTTTGTTGCGTTAAGTCAGCTTTTGGCAATGACAATTTTTGTTGTTGCAAAAACTTTTCCCATCAGCATTTATTGCAACGGCATGCAACAACTTTTTTGTTGTTGCCAAAAGTACTTTTCGCAACAATATCTAATGTATGGCAACGAAAAAAGTTATTGCAAATTTCATACTTTCGTGTAGTGGTAGTTCTTCTATGAATGATTTTTAGTTCCTGTAATAGAAGTAGAAAATATTTACTAATGATGAATTTTAGATTCAACAATTTTTCTTCTGTCTTAAGGAATAAGAGGTGTCCAAAAAGATTCATATAGTCGTCCCGACTAGTTTGGGAACAAGTATATTTATTGTTATTGCTGTTGATTAAGGAATAAGAGGTGTTCAAACGGAATGAAGATTCATTAGATGGTTCACTACCGTGTCAAGGGGTTAATGTTAATGTCCTTTCAAAACACTTTCTTGAATATTTAGAAGGAAGAATGAAGACATTTGAGAAGAATGGTTTGTTTTAATCACACTTTACTAAGTATTGGATGACTTGCAGTTCTGTTTTTTTAGTGTTGGTGTTTGCTCCAATTTGCATGCAGGTATTTTTGAAAAGAACCCAAATCTGTCAAGGAGAATAACAGTAATGTCTCAAGTTCTTATCTTGTGATGTTAAATTCAAGGCTAAATATTGTGTTTGTACGGGATGTCGGTGAAACCCATTTTAGATTTAGTCAAAATTAATTTTTGTTGAGCATTAATTTTTCTTATCCTCTTATTATCTAGTTTTTTTCAGTATCGAAAAACCTATTCACAGACAATTTATTATTTTTATGAAACTTCCTAGTTTTATTTTTGTTGTATTAGAATAAACATCTTATTATTCTGGGTTTAGATGAAGCCTATCTAGTTTTACTTTGTCATTATTGAAATTCACCAAANCTTCCGATCAAATTCACCAAAGTTCTGAATTAATTATGAAGAAATTTCACTTTATTGTTTCTGTTGAGCTTTTACCTTTTGATGTTCTTTTCACCTCTATGTATGGTTCATCTTAAAGCATCTGTCCAAAGTGTATATATATATATATATATATATATATATATATATATATATATATATATATATATATTTGTGATAGTTTGAAAGAAAATGTGATTTGTGTATGTAGCAACTACACATTTATTATTGCTAGCAGTATAACAGAAAATATAATATTGTTGGCAAAAAGTGGTTTGTGCCCACAACAATACGTGTTGCGAAAAGCCTTTTTATTGCAACGGCATGCAACAACTTTTTTGTTGTTGCCAAAAGTACTTTTCGCAACAATATCTAATGTATGGCAACGAAAAAAGTTGTTGCAAATTTCATACTTTCTTGTAGTGTTATCATGTTAAGCATCCTAGTCTCACCCAAAAGTACATGTTATAACATTCCCTACTTGTTGACTTTTGACGAAATATTATTTTCTTTAATTCCGTTATCTTCTGAACCTTCCATCCTTCTTTGTACTTGTTGATAATGATCTTCAATATTTGTAATCTCTGAGGTAAATTGATTAGCTTACTTTATATACTTCAAAGATGATCTCATTTTTTGTCCTACTTTATTTTGCTTACGATGCACTTTTACGTAAGAAGATATGTGGGATAACAACATTACACAAAACGATCGGCAGGACCGTTACACGCGGCCACCATGACAAGCTCACACAAGCCTTCGAGATCCTGACACTACCCAACCGATCAAAATAAAGGCACTAGAAAAATTTACAACTTCAGAATTTGTTCAACCATCGAAACTCATCCAAGACCCCGGGACTCGTCCAAACAATCAACAAGTCCAATAATACTATACTGATCTATTCAAATGTCTCGAATAATGAAGCGAATGCAACTATTCTAATCAATATTGTTGCTAGGGTCGATACAAGGAACTCTATAACTTCCAAATTACACGTAATGGTGCCGGAACACCCTCGAGCTCGTCGGGTTCCAAACCGACCGTACCAGTAAGTCCAATTATCATATGAACCTACGAAAAGTCTCAAAATATGTATTGACACATAACGATACCAAAAGAGAGATTAGATTGTTACATAGAGTCGATCCAAAAGTACATCATATTAATTAATATAATATTATTACCATTGGAAACGCAACATAGAACACATACGGAATATATATCACACCAAATAGTTTTATTTATCCATAAGTTTATTTATTCATAAGGATTTAGGATGGCCATAATACTTCATCATACTGATGGGAAGGGGAAGAAATATCTATTTCCCGACATGGTGAGGCTCAAGGTCTTTGAGGAGGCAAATACCAAATTCCAAAAAATCAAGGGACTTGTATAATTCATTCATATCACCTTCAACAAAATTGATTTTTTTGCATCATCTATGTGTAGGACCTGCTTCGCATGCCTCTCTTTTCCTCCTGTTGTCAAAGCGAACATAGTGAAAAAAAACAAAACATTTAAGCTCATGTCATAATTGCACGGAAATTGCAATACATTACGGATATGTTAGGTATGACTGAAAAATTCAATATTTTCATGTTTAGTTTGTTTTAATATTGTGACAAATATTTTCTGCATGAACACATTTTTTTCAATTAAATTTTCTCCTATTGGAGGAAAAAAAATACCCTACCAAAAGGAGAAAAAATATTTTTCAAAATTCTTTCTCGATCTTCCCCGTCATATTCCCCACTTCCACCCCTACCTCTACCCCCACCCCACGCCCCACGCCCCTATCCCTACGTACCCTCTACCCAGGGGCGTACGCAAAAATTTTTATAAGTGGTGTCGAAATTTATAAAAGAACAGGAATAATAATTCTAATTATCATATTTTTGGAGAAAAAATAATCTTAATCTATTTGTTTTGTTGAATCTTAAGTTTAAGTTAGTAAAGGCCTCGAGTTCAATTCTACTTAAGCATAATTTTAACCACCGAGGCTCTCTCAAATATTCGTAAAAAAAAAAATTACTAGTTGAGGTTTGAACCTTTGACGTCCTAGAGCAAATCAAGCACATAACCAACACATCATGAGACAAATTACATCAAGTGATGTCATTTTTTCCTACTTATCCGTTTTCTTACAGTATTAATATATATATTTAGTAAAGTTTTCCGACGAAGCAGTGTCGCGTGTCACCACTTCATCAAAGGTGCATCCGCCCCTGCCTCTACCTGCACAACCTCACCCCTCCCCCTTAATACCTCCTCCAGCTGCCACCTCCTTGCCAGCGCTACTCCGGCTCCTAGACCAAATCTACCACCCTTGTGTTATTTCGTCCCATAGAGTGTTTGCCTAAATTATAATTCTTTAAATATATTCTCTCCTACCTAATTAAACACAGAAAAAATAATAATAAAATCACTTATTTTTTAAAGAAAATATTTTCCAAAAAAAGTTTTTTTTTGGTACTAAACACACCCTATCACAAAATGAAAAGAAGAGAGAAAGCTGAGAAACAGGTCACTTGTACCAAAGCAAATTGAAATTCGAAAGGAAATAGAAGCTTACCGAGAACAAACTTCCAGCTGACAACAGAACCAGTACTACCTAACTGACCTTCATGTAACGTGAAATTTGTTATCTTATCAGGAGACATGGTGGAGGTTTGGAGTGGATTTAATTTGAAGTGTTCATGAAACAAATCTCCAGCACACTTCATCTCTATTTGAGCGACTAATTTGCCTTTGAGACCCATTTGTTAGCAGTATGAGATTTTCTTACACGAGTTCTCTGATTTAATTTAGCGAGACCTTATAGCCTTTATATAGAGTGTCTGCTGTGAATGATAAATCTCCTCTTGCATGGTTGTACACAATTAATCTTGGATGACATACCAAGATTAATTGTGTACAATAATGCAAGAGTAGATTTATCATTCACGGCAGCCAGAATTTTCGTTAAGGGGTGTCAAAATATATAAAATTAAATATACCAGAAAATTAAGGAGAGTGTATGTATATATATANATATATATATATATATATATATATATATATAGTATATTTTTCCGACGACGGGGTGTCATTTGACACCCCTTTCTATAAGGTGGCTCCACCACTGTATGTCATTGTTGGACGTGTGAAAAAAGTTCTAGATTGAAAATTTTTGAGAAATCAAACTTACATATGAATTCGTAGCTCACGATGAAAAGGCGGACCCAGAGTTTAAAAGAGAAATGAGCACCAACAGTTGAGCAAATACTGGAGCAAAAATTCAATCCAGGCAACACAATAAAATTAATGTCCCTTCCCAACCAGAGTCGGATCTAGTATCGATCCAACGAGTTCAATTAAACCAATAACTTTCGATGCAGAGTAAAAAATTATACGTAAAAATTCATTAAAATTGTAAAAATAATAGATATGAACCTATAACTTTAAAAATATAATGAATTCAATATTAAAAACCTTGAAAGTTAAACCCATAGGATTTAAATCTTTTAATCTACCTCTTCTCCCAACCCCCCTCCAAATGGTCGAGTGCAATTGTCTAACCTTTGAGTCTTGGGGTGCCAAAATAGTTGGTCGAAATTCTAACTATTTACTTCCAAATACGAGTAACAATTAAACTTGTAATGTGGTTATAAAGATATGTGATCTAATTCAATGCCAATTGATAAGTAGCTAAATAAAAAAAGAAATTA